ATCTACACTGTGCTTGTTTGATCTCCCGTTAGCCAGCTGCCGCCTCTCCCCACTTCTGCTTATCTCTCTGCCCAATGGACTAGAGATGTCCCGATCCAGGTTTTTGCACTTCCGATCCGATACCGATATTGTTTTTGGACTTCCGATCCGATACCGATACTGGCCGATACCAGCATATCCGAGCATGTATTTAAGTTTAAGTTAAAGTATTTAGCCTTAGTTGTAAGACTCATGTTGAAAAGGGTTTTAGTACTCTTGATAACATCTAGCCAGCTAAATTAGGTGAGATTGAATAAAACACAATGCTTGGTAACAACAAACTTACCTGTTTATTAAGAGATAAACACAAACTGGACAAAATTACGAATAGCAATCTGAAATTGCACAGTGAGCAGTAAAACCGTAAACAGTTAAAGGTGCAAGTATTACTGTAAGTTTTAATAAAAATGCAAAACAGGGGAACACTGGCGCAAAATAGTGGAATGGATCGTTTCAATCGGCGAAACTGGAAAATACGGACCGGATTTTTTTTTAAAAACTGGATCGGCCGTCTGGATCGGCATTTTACATGCTTTGCCGATACGCATTTTTTTGCCAATATCGGCGTCCCGATCCGATCCACGTATCGGATCGGGACAAGCCTACAATGGACTACTTCAATCCAGATGTGCGCATGGCCAGCTGCCTCGTCCTGGTTCTAGTGATCTTTTGCCGAGTTCTTGCTCTGATTTACCACTGTTCCTTCTTTCTGCTTAGTCTCACCTTACCTCATGCTCTTTTGGAAATGGCAGTGATCCAACTGGATTCCCCCAACTGGAGAATCTGCTGGACTCAGGGTTGCTAGCAGCGTTGTTTGGCTTTCCTAATAAATAGAGCACTGTGGTTTGTTATAATAAAATTGAGGTGTACTACTTTAAGATCAAACAAACCACGTCGATGATGTAGTGGTGCCTTTTGTCTGCCTTGCGAATTCGCCCACTGTGTGATTTGCTGCCGCTCACCAGGCAAATTTTTTTCCAGGTTTCAAATTCAGTGTGAATGCACTATTGGTGTCTGCAAAGCAAATCTGCAGAATTGTTTCATTAATGTTCAAAATTAATATTGTGCAACACAAAACTAGCATTAAATGAGCAACAGACTCAAACTCAAATGTACAGTAGATCAACTCCTGAACTAAAAGACTTCAAAAAGACATTTGTTAGATTTAAAAACGGATAGATGTTAAAAACTCTTTCAACTACAACAGCTTTGCTGTATCATGTTTATCTTCCTGGTATCTTATGAAAGTTTAGCTTTGCCTAACTCTGATATGTCATCACATGACATTGAAAAGAGTATACATGGCGTATCAGTAAAAAGCTGGTAGAGCTTGGTGGGTTGGACTAACAGGGTCAGCGAAATTAGGTTAGAACCACTCAGATAAGTACAGAAACGACTTCAAGTGACGCACGCTGTTTTAATAATTTTTTACTTTGTTAAACATGTCATGTAGTTGAAATGCCCCAGTGTAAGATTTTTGCAGGGTTTGCTTATAAAAAAAATCTAAGGATGTGAGATGCGCTTTCTAGGATGTTCATTGCAACATTTCTCCCAGTCAGAACAGTCAGCATCTTGCTCTCTGGTTTCTTGGTTTCTTGCTGGCTTACTTTAGTGTGGCTGGCTAGGCTATGTCCAAGGAGAAGACCTTGTAGCACTTGCATAAGCACATTAACTGAATAGAAAACAACAGCAACACCGACCAGATATTTGATTTTTGGACAAACCAATCACTGGTCAGAGCATTACAAGCTTAAAAAAGCTTAGATTTCAATCCCATTCCAATCTTCCAGTGTTAATCTCCAGTTAATTTTAAAGCAGATTCACTAAATTTGTACTTCAGTCCAACCAGTGCTGACAGTTTTATATTAAAACTAAATTGCTTGTCAGTTAGAATGACTCACTGATACATTTTATAATTGCCACAGGCTTTATCTTCCCTCTTAGTCCTGTGTTTAGTAGGTGTATTGACTGGAGAGAAACCCTCTTCTGGTGATCTTTCATTTCTTATGGCACTGTCAGGGAAACTGCTTTTTATCACAGACAAGGATAAAAAGGTGGTTGTTTTGTTCTTACATTTATAAAAGTGTATCTTTGTGTAGAGAAATAATACTGTTCATGCTTTAGATCCCTCCTAAAATGTCACCAGCCTCATTTTAGAGAGTTTTTTTTATGAGACTTGAGCTTTAAGACAGACATCCTAAACCCCAGAGAGTTCTGGGGTTTAGGGTGTCTGTCTATCAAAAAAAAACTTAGCTTTACTGCTGAATATTTCTACTTCTGGACTATTGCACAGATGCAAATCCAAATTATTTTCAGTGTGTGAGTGTGTGAATGAATGTAGTGTAAAGCGCTTTGGTCAAGTCTCCTAACTTGAATAAAGGCGCTATATAAGTACTTACCATTTACCATTTATTTCTATTTGCAAATACAGATAGTTCTGGTTATCTGCTCCATAGGTAACTCTCACATTGTCTGCACATGCATGTATTAGTATAACCACAAGCTGAATGTCAAGCTTGCTGCTAAATATAATTCTTTGTACAGTAAAAGCATGAAAAAAAAATTGTTGAAATCCTGCCCAATGCTCTCTGGTATTTGTGCATGACCTGCTGCAAAAGGATGTTCTGCTTTTGTGTTCTCCAGGCTACTTCTTAACTGAAAGCAAAAAAATCATGCAAATCTTTTTTTTTTAATATATAGAACAAAGCTTAAAAGTTATGAAGAGTCTCCTTGTGTCTTTGATATCAGGAATATTGCTTCCACATGTTTTAGAAGTTCTATCTGCCTAAATTATAACTTTGAGAGTGACAAATTTAGAGGGGGAGCTTAATGCTTTGGAAACCAAATGGAGATCTACAGTATTAAGCAAAACTTAAAGGATAGAAGAGAAAATGACTACTAATTTTGGTAAGAGGAGGTACTAGGCTGATTTAAGGCTGATTTCAGGCTGATTTATATGCTGAAACAAGGTAATCTGCGTGTGTGTTGCAGTTAATGCAGATATGTCCTAGCCCCTACCACAGACACTCTGGAGCATCTCTCCGAAATTGTAGTTGATCACAGACAGGGGACAGACAGGAGGCCTCTGAATAGTCAAATCTACATCCGCTCTACACTATGCGTATTTCCTGTTTGGCACCTTACTGGCTTGTTCTGTTTGTATGACCACCATTGCAGAAAACGACTGGTGAAGTTGGACAGCTAGAAGAGCGAGGTGTGCGAGAACGCTAGGACCCTTTTTCCACCTGAATCCCCGCTCTTTTTCATGTCCCTCCATTGTTGCACAAACTTGCAACTTGCTTTTTTCCACTTCCTCACTGCCTCGGCCGTATCTGGACCCACAGCTGGTTCGTGATTGTCCCTCTTGCATTGTCTTGTGGAATAGCATAGTGCAGACCATGCCTCAAAATTGGGCATAAATCAAAAATATTTGCGTCAAAACAGCGACAAGCTCTGCAACACACTGCTGCGGGAGGATAACCAGCCCTATAGACTCGTTGTTGGCTTGCAGGATAGTGACTTTTACATCAACAGTGGTTCTGTTTGCCCACAGAGCACTCCTATTTTGCTAAGTTGGACTTGCTTCTCTCTATGTACTGGTTTTGAGGTGTGGTTTTTTTCTCAGTTTGTATTCAGACAATGATATAAAAAATTACCAATATGCAGACCATGTCAGTGCATCGGCAGACAGCAATACGTAAATCTATCGAGGCCTTAACACAGAAAAGTCAGCAGTTGATGCCAAAGACAGATTTAATGCAATAGCTGCTTATAAGATTGACCAGGTCTAGGTGACTCAGCTTGGGCTTACTTCCTGTTTGGATGAAAACGTTTCTTTTGAGATTCAAGCTCATACTCTGTAACAAAGATTCTCTAATGAAACAGACCTAATATAGAGGAAACCCAACAGTTCAATGCAATTTTAAAATTCCATGTTCAAAAACTACATGAGGTGATACCAGAGTAAGTTAGCTCCTTAAGCTGCAAACATTTAATATTCTATAATAGCACCATCCACTTTAGTTACCAGGAAAGTTCTAAAACAACAGTACTTCAAAAACCAACAAAAAAGTATAGACGCATGCCAGAGCTAGCATGCAGTATTTCCTCTCTGTTGGCTTATGAGGGTATCAGGTTGGCTCTGCAGTGGGATACATAGTACCATAGACAACATATGTTACATTTTGGGACATCTTTTGGTTTCATGAGTTTGATTGAATGATCTTTATAAATGCTAAAAAAAAAATCTGAAGGGATTACAATGCAAAACTGACTTGAATTTTCTATTGCACACTTTGCTCACTGTAAATAAAAGTAAAAAATTGAAAGTGGACAATAATGTTGACTTGTGATTTCTAGCGCTTGCTTTCTGCCTGAAAAAAATACACATTTGATACAAAAAAAAGTTAAAACATTTCTCTATCTAAAGTCTGACCAAGGTCTGGAGGCGAGGTTTTACAGATTATTTTATTAAAAATATTTTACTTTCAACTAAAATATCTGAACTCTATTCTGCACATTCAAGGCAATGTTTTCACGCAATAACAGTATTGGATTTAAAAATATATCCAGTATTGAACCTTACAATGATTTCTTAGCTATTTTAATCATCAGCAAATGAACTAGCCTACATAATAAGATGACTTTTTTTGTGTAAGCCGGCTTTGGATATTAGCAAAGCAAATCAAAAACAGCCCGGAATTGTAACAGAAATATGTCGTATTTTTGTAAAAAAAAAAAAAAAAAAGTTACTTTTTTTTTAATCAATCTTAATCTTGACAGAAGAAGTGGGCAGTGAATTAAAAATGGAATAAAATAAAAGAAGTTAACAAAATGGAACAAGGTAATTTTAGAATTCTCATAAATTTTTAGGTACCTAGATCAATTGAATAGATTAATTGTTAATAAATATAAATGCTTTACTTTAAATCTGAAGTGGTTTTTGTCTGTTCTCCACCCAGGCACCGGAGTCCTGCAAAGGCCAGTATTCACTAAACAACCTGGCAGCGTGGTGTTTCCTGTTCATGCTGGTGAGACTCAAAGAGAAGTGGTGTTTAGCTGTGAAGCCCAAGGACACCCACCACTCTTCTACAGGTAATGCCTGCAGTCATGGCTTCATGCACACAGTGGGTTTTTTGTTACATTGAGGCTTCAGGTAATTTCTTAAGGCCATCAAGTGCAACATTTTCACTAAGAGCCTGTAGAGAATGGATGTATTGCTAGAGGAAAAATAGGGATTTGTATACCTTATGGCTTATAATGGCTCTCTGTCTGCAGGGCTTAAATTCAATGTCAGGCATGGTTAATATAAAAAGGATTAATCCAATCCAGGTAACTACTGTCTTGCATATTTACAATGGCAGTGAGAGTTTCCTTTGTTACTACCAGAAAGAAAATATTGGGTAACGTACATTTTTAAAAAGTGACATACTGACAGTAAATTACTGTATGTTTGTGTCTGCTGCTCATTTGATTCTTCAGGATCTTAACAACTAGTCATAAGTGATGGAAGCATGAATCTTGCTCCTAAACAAAAAGTTCTTAAGGAGAATATCTAACCCTTAGTTTGTTGCCATTGCTCGAGCCTGGGTTTTGGTAGAAATGGATTTTTAAAGCATGCAAACATGCAAATATGTAATATCCATATGGTGAAGAAAACAGAAAAAAAAGGTACTGTACTGTGTACAAAAGGTACTGTGGGAGAACCTTAGACAGGTTATTTATTCTAGAAAACCCCTCAATATGGCTGAACAAACACAATTCTGCAAAGAATAGCTACAGTTAATTTTTCACATAGATCCAGTTTATTATAGATATTTCTTTCTTGTCAAAACACTCATAACTTTTATCTCTTTTTAAAATGTTTTGTTATTTTTATTTGATTTAAACAAAATATACGTATCAGAAATATTCATCTGTCCACAAAGGAAACAGAAACAATTGATATATCTGGATGCGGAATAAATACTTTTCGCTGCACGGTGCAGTTTGTAGCATCATTGCCTTCAGTGGCAATTTCTCATTGATTGCTTTGGAGACTAAACCTCCCCTGTAAATGGCATAAAGTTATTGGTAAAATATGCATTGTCAACCTTCATAAATGTAGTCTTTAATCTGCATTAAATATGCGCTAAAATACACCTGGTTTCATGAGTATGTTGCGCATTAATCAGCTGTTAATTAATCAGCAAACAAACATAAGGATTATTGACTGACAGTGGTTTTCCTCATGAGTCGAGAGGGAAAAGGGATCATTCAGTCAGAACAGTCATTTCGTGCTGAACTGTTGCCGTGGTTTCTGGAGTTTATTACTTCAGGGCGCTTCGCTGCAGCTATTTTCCCCCTTTGTAGGGATTTGTTTTATGTGTGTCAACATTTATTAAAGCAATACGTGGTGTTTAGTTTTAATTAACACAATTCCCCCTCCCCTGCTTCATAGAGCATCTGCCACCACTTGTTGCCTTTTAGCAGGAAGGTTTCGGGTTCAATTCCCGGCCTGAGTTCTTTCTGCATGGAGTTTTGATGTTCTCCTCATGCATGTGTGGGTTCTCTCTGGGTACTCTGGTTTCCTCTTACAGCCCATAAACATGACTGCCCTAATTAGACAGATTGCTACTCAGATGGGATAAGAGGGGTAAGATGGATACATGTAAATAAAGACCTCAAGATCCTTCAAAGTTTGATGCAGATGAGGTGTATTATACTAGTGCTAAAAAGGACATTTGTTTGGCTATATACTTAAAGACCATCAGCCATTGTTTCCCTCAGAGATTAATGAGCTTCTTTCCCTGAATAATAGTTACAAATTTAAAATTCTATTAAAGAATAAATGAATAAGTGTATCAGTTAAATAAGCTATTAAATTATTATCCATAGCAATGGGTCACATTGTCTTTGTAATTAAAACAAAATTCAAAAGCTGGCAATCAGGTTAATGAGGACTCATGTAAAAAAAAAAACTGTTAGTGTGACATGAAATTAGTTTAGGGCTGGGTTATACAGATAAAACGTATATCCATTAAAATATACATATATTAATTGATTACAATAATTGTCAAAAGAATGCAAAAAAATATCTCCAGTGCAGCCCTGGCCCTTTTATGCTTATGCTTCAGACATGTTTTTAATAAATGACACACAAACACTGAATTCCAGATAAATCTATATCAAACCACCTCTTCTTTCCTAAAAGGGAAAAATTAACTAACGTGACCAGAAAATCTGATAGATATTTTAACAATCCTTAGAAAAAAATAAATATAACAAACACATAAATAAACAGAATAGCATGTTTAAGCAGACTAGCAGATTGTGGTAGCTTAAAGAAATGTTAGGACTAGGCTAACATGCAAACAAACACCTACTAAACAAGAACAAAATAAAATGCGCAGAATTTTTTTTAACTTTTTTTTAATGCGCTTTCTCCTGTCTCTGTCTTTCTGTCTCGCCTTAGTTCTTATTCCCTGTTTTTTTCTCACCACCTTTTCCATCTCCATGTCCGTTGCATACAATTTTATGCCCTAAAAAGTTTTTCAATAAATTTTCATAAACAAATACCGAGAGGAACCTTTTAGCAACAGCAATAATGGTCTGCTTGTTACCAATTCCCTGTAAATTTTGCAACTGTGACTGTCAGTAAGATCAAAAGAGGGATTTTTTATACTGCAAAACAACGTAAAAAGAGTCTGTGCCAAACATATTTGGACCATTAAAAATAACAACAGTAGAATATTGTTATTAAATAAAAAAATTTTTATTCATATGGGCATATTCATGGGTTCTCTCTGGGTACTCCGGCTTCTTCCCACAGTCCAAAAACATGACTGTTAGGTTAATTGGCTTCTCCAAATTGTCCTTAGTTGTGTGTGAATGTTTGTTTGTCATGTGTTGCCATGCGATGGACTGGCGACCTGTCCAGGGTGTACCCCACCAATCGCCCAATGACTGCTGGAGATAGGCAAGGCAAATTTATTGTGTATAGCACAATTCAGTACAAAGACAATGCAAAGTGCTTTACATGATTAAAATACAGGAAAATAAAACAGAATCAAAGCAAGTAGGAAAAAACAAAAAATATATATATAATAAAATAAAAAAATGCAGAAACAAAAAAGAATATTAAAAACAGTTTGACTAAAGAAAATAAAAAAGTTAAACTAATGATGTGCATGATAGGCACCAGCACCCCTTGTGACCCCACTCGGGACAAGCGTGTCAGATAATGGATGGGTGGATGGAAAAAAAAAAAAATATATATATATATAAAAATATATTTCTTCCTGCATTCAACAAAGCACAAAAAAAACTGCTATGTTTATACGTTAGCAGCTGTTAAAGACATGCAGATTTTTCAGGGGGGGATCAATTAACAGAAAAAGTTTTATTTTTTAATGTTTAAGCTAGGTTATTTCCATCTATATATATTTTTACTTTTCTTTGTAGTACTTAGTAATAGGCTAAAATATAGGACAGAGATACAGTATATTGATATTACATTAAATAGACATTTTTAAACTGTTGTCATTTTTACCTCCAACTACATGAAACTAATCTGTCATTCAAAGAAAAGTGTAGAATACACACTTTCCTAATTTTTATGAGACAGAACAACTCTGGTTTGCATGTCAGATATTTTGCACCAGGTGCTATCATCAGATGTAAACAATGTTGTGTGCCGTTGCCATCTGCCAGAAGCCTATATTATCAATTGGTCCCATTACATAATGTATGCATTTTCTGGTCCCCACAAGATCCTAAGGACTGCATTATTATCACTAGCATCCAGGAAAATGCGGTGTACTCAAGCATCCATCAACTTGGCAGATAAATCTGAAAGCTTCTGCAGCTGCAGCCTGCTTTCCTGTAAACACAAATGTCCTTATTAAATGATTTCTGAGCTCAACACCTTTCTTATCCTCTGTGCCTCAAGTAGTTTAAGTTGTTCTTCGCACTAGAACTTTGACTTTTTGTCCCTTTTTAACCTCCCTTTCAAAGCCATATTTCTATGGCTCTTAATTGTTTACTCATTGTGCACCTGTCAATATAATTCTTCCGGTCACCTAATCCTGTTATGACCAATATGTCAAATCCCTTTATTTGCTAACAATTAGAGCAAAAACAGCATGTAAAACAGAAACAGAATATTATTAGCCAACAGAGGCCATCATTTAAACTATAGACCTTTATATGCAACAGGAGTGAGCCAATGGTGTAGAAGGGTCATATTATGTGACAAGGGCACACATCATATGTGTTGCTGACAAGTTCACATTTTCAGCTTGCAGAGGACTTTAAAGCTAATGATCAATCTTAAATCTGACAAACGGTGATATGGAGGTTGGATAGTCTTTGTTTTGAGCTATAATTCAGATGCAGGTCTCCAGATCTTAAGTGGCTAAGCTGTAGGCAGGTGTGTTTCAGGGGCATCAAGGACACTTACATTTGTTTTCTTCTGCTCAGCAATCACAAGGCAACATAAAGCCTTCACTCCAACTTATCTGTTTGCCCCTTTGATTCGTCTCATCTGGAGCCCTTGGAACACTTCCAGCTGTAATCACTAAATCAGTATAATTAGCCAAGCTGCTGCACTCCATATGTCCTCTTCTGCCCACCATTCTTCAAGTCGGCCCTCTGCCAGTCTTAAATTCCTCCAGCTGAACAAGAGCAGTGATGATCTAATCAAGGGTGGTACCATCCAGTGTTATTTATCTTACGATAATATGCTTTTTTTTTTGTCAGCTTCTCTAAACAAAAGAACTAGGGCTGCAAATAACGGTTGTTTTGTATATTGATTGATCTACTGAGTTTTTTTTTTTTATTTTGTTTTTATTTTTTAAATCAGTAGCAAAAGTTTATATACAGAATTTAAATTAAGTGAATAAAAACTGTACCCTTTCAGGAGTTCTAGAAAGAGCATATTCATGTACAAAAAGGGATTTATTTAGCATAAATGTGAAATCCCACATCCTTGGTAACTGGCCTGATCCACCACGCTGCGCTCCTGCCCGCCCCACTGCACTACGTTGCATTATGACCCGCCCCACTGCGGTGCGCCCCGCCCTGCTGTGATCCACCCCCAATAGCATATTCATGCTATTGTTGGGCACCCTGCGGCTTTCCAGACCGCCTCCATAAAGCAGAGCCTTCACCCTCCATGGTTCATCTCATCTTTCTCCTCTACGTTTTATTGAAGCTCGAGCAGAACATGCGCAATATTATTTGTTAATTCCTAGGAGCACAATACGTCGTAATAAATGCTTAATTAGATAGGCCCATATCATAATTAAAACACCACTGGCATCCAGCACAATTCAATTCCTGCCCAAACCTTTTCTTTCCGTTGTTGGTCTTTGTAATAACATGCATTGGATCATCATAGCTTGGTTTGTATCTACAGTACTTCCAACTTCATCACCTCTTCATCCGTGCTGATGATAAGAAGTTGCTCTTGAAATTGTGGGATGCGCTCTTGGAAGTAGTTGTGACTGGATTTAATGAAATTTTAAGCATTTCAGCATACAATAAATATTTTGATCAAGATGACACATCTGCTTCCTTGTATTGATTAATTGATTGATAGACTTTATTGATCTCACAGTGGAGAAATTAACTAGTTACATCTCGGCTCAATAGTCCAAAAGAAGGAAGGTGCCAAAAGGCATAAATATTAATATATATATATATATATATATACACACAATATTAAACAGAATTAAATATAAAACAGAATATTGCACGGGGTATTACATAGCGATTGCTCATTAGTTATTGCACCAGTTATTACTATTATGGTTCTGTATTGTAAAGTCTGATGGCAGCAGGGATGAATGACCTGCGGTAGCGCTTCTTTTTACAAACAGGATGTATAAGTCTTTCCCTAAAGGAGCTGCTCCGCTCCTCTACAGCCTGGTAATGGGGTTGCAAGGTGTTATCCATAAAGGACGTAAGCTTGGACAGCACCCTCCTCAGCCACTATCTCCACTGAGTCCAGAGTGCAGCCTAGGACAGAAGTGGCCTTTTTCACCAGTTTGTTCAGTCTCTTTCTGTCCTGCTCTGCACTACCATGGGCCCATTAGACAACAGTGTAGAGGAGGGCTTAGGCCACCACAGAGTTGGCCAAGGTTTTAAGCTTGGGCCCTGCTCAGTCCAAAGGCCTACTGAGGAGGCGGAGAAAGCTCTGGCCCTTCTTGTACAGGGCATCAGTGTTATGAGTCCAGTCCAGTTTACTATTTTTGTGAACACCCAAGTATTTGAAACTCTCCACAGTTGTATGTTGAAGTATCAGTGGTTTGTATCCAATGATTAAATGCAACAGTCTCGTTTTCAGGAATATATAAGAATTATGTTCTAATTTGTAGATACCGATCAGTAGTTACCGTATTTTATTTTGACAAACCGGGTTTCTTGACATTCTTCATATTCATGCTATTGTTGTCTTTCAATCTTTTCAATCTTTCAATTCTCTACCAAATGATATTTTTTGATAAAAATGTAATTTGCCTAATTAAGGTAAAAAAGAACGAGGGGTGTAAGAGCAACCAGTCATTAAGGCTTAACATTAAAGAAATGAATAGTCACTTCTGTTCTTTATTTTATCTTATTTGAGATGTTACATTTTGAAGTCCACTAACTGAATGATACAGTATGAAATCTGATTGTTTCTATGTCCATAAAAGTTAAATATCAGTGTGAAGTTGAGAGAAACTGGGGTGCAGTTAACAACTCTGGGGATATAAATATATATCCTGGTGCATACCTGCTGTCCTGCTTTTTCCTTCAACTCAGCCTAGAACCACAGTCAGAATCAGGTAAAAAAAAAACAACAATAAAATAATCTTATACAGGATAAGTATCTGCAACCTCAGACACTTAATATGTGTAAATGTGTTTTAATTTTGTTTTCAAAAAGAAATCTGCATGTGAAAGTGTAGCTCTGTGATGAAAATTCATAAAATTTAGACTACATTGGTTTGTCATTTATAAATTATTGAATATACAATGCATTTACACAAAGTTAGATGTTCACGGATCTTAGTTTTAATAAGAAGAGCAGATAATTTCAGGCAAACTCAACCAAGGTTAGCCAGCTGATATAAACCATGTACATTTTTATGATCCTTCCTGGTAAAAGAATCTGAACTAGGAATCAATAGGAACTGGAAAAAAAATTGAAACCCGAATCGGAATTGTTGAAATTCAAAGGATGCCCTACACTATTGCTTAGTCAAATGCCTGGTGATTGCTTCAGTTCCATTAAACCCTTATCCACTACTTAGCATCCTATCATTTACATAGGAAAAAATGACTGTAGCTGCAGCCTTCTGGCCAAAACATGTTTGGTATTTGTTTAAATTTATTCCTTTGCATATATTGGAAAAAAAATATCTATATGCACACAGCATTTCAAAACATTTCTTTGTATAGATATTACTTAGAAAGTTTTCAGTTTGGGAGATTCCTCATATTAATTTCCCTTGAAAGGTATATGTCAGAATCGAAAATTTTTAATTGGGATCAAATCTAAAAAAGCTAAAAGCAAAGCAGTGGGACCAAGTTAGGGGACCAATTACCTCAGACATTCAAACACTGAAACTGTGATTTCAGGTTAAGTGACCCTTCTTTTTTTTCTCATAATGGGATGCTAGTAAAAATAATCAAATGAACATTGTTGGAAAGACAAGACCGGACTCATTTCTGTCATTGGTGTAACAAAAAGTTTGCCTTGCACCCATTTTTTTCCCTTTAACTTAAAATATTCACAACTTTGGGTTCATCTGTTTATTTCTGAGGTTTTTCATTTGGTCTTTTGCTTTCTCTAACAGAAGGAAGCAAAGTATTGAAATGCTGAGAGAGAAAGACAGTATTAACTAGCTTATCCTAGTGAAATACAGTAACCACTGATTAGACAGTGGTCCTACGAATTGAAGGAAAAGAAAAAACACTGGTCAAAAGGTTCTTACACTCAGTGTTTATTTATTAAACTGATATATAGCAGAAAATTCTCAAGTGTTTTTCTACACTAACTTCAGTAACAGTTTCCATGGTTTGATCTTTATAAGGCTTGCATGTCTTAAACCATGTGCAAACATTTCTGTAAGGGCAGAGTAGATCTTTGGAGAAGACACATTAATCTAGCATAGATTAATAAACATATTAGACTCTCTACCCGGAGGACAGATTCGGCTTAATCACTCTTGATACATCAGCTAAAATAAACTATGAAACACACGGAAAATCTCTCTGGAGACAGAGCTAAAGGCTTTTGGTTGTCTGCTTGTATGAATAAGACAAAGAAAAACAGCAACTGATGGTAAATGGCCTATACTTATACAGTATAGCTATTTTTCAAGTCAGGAGACTGGACCAAAGGGATTTATATTACATTAGGTCATTCACTCATTCATGCACACACACTGATAATGGCAAGCTACATTGTAGACACAGCTGTCTTGGGGCTCACTGACAGAAGCAATGATGCAATGATAACTGTTGCAACTGAGCATCCAGTGTATGATATCAAACTAAATAGTCTTCTCTGCTTGTGGACCGACTAGATGTTAGACTACTCTGCACAGCTGCTAACATAGTGAAATTTCACAGTTATATTGAATTACGTTACCAGCCCAGCAAACAGCCTGCAAACCCTATTTCTGTTTAAAACACAGCTAAACTTTTATTTTGGTCTGTTTCTCTTACCTCTCACTGGACATAGAGTATGGATGGTTCTCCATTCCATCAGAACATAAAGGTAGAATGATCTATGGTTGTTTTCAACTCCTGCACCAACGACAACATGTTTTAATCATTTTACATTGCACAATACAGGTAAAACATGTAATAAGGGCAATGTTGTGCCTTTCAGCAACTCTAATCAAAATTACGACGCATTATGGCATCTCCCAATCTGGTGCACTGTCCCCTATATATGTATAAACCCCTAATTCTAAGCTATGCGAGTACTTTCATTTTTAAAGGTAAGTTACTATTGCCTAATAGATACATATACGATAGTTATTGCTCCAAAACATGCCTGATTGGTTTCAGTCTGTCTTTAAAATAGTGTAATCAGTAACACTAATCAGGTTTTTCTAAAATGCAGTAAAAAGATAAATTGTTGCCCAACACATGTGTTTCCTGTGATAATCCTTAAAACTGAGGTGTCACAATGTTGAAAATGTGGAATTATTTCCATTGGGTGACAACAATAAAAAGAGTAAGGTATTAATGTTTAGGAGTTTAACCTTTGTTGGCCATGTGCCTTCATTCCCAGGTGGAAGCGAAATGACTCCTTCATCCTGCCTGTCCAGGGTTCACGTTACTCTCTCATGGGTGGAAACTTACACATCAGCAATCTGAATAAAGAGGAAGATGTTGGCATCTATCAGTGCCTGGCATCAAACTCCTTTGGCACAATCATCAGCAGAGAGGCCAGTCTTCATGTTGCTTGTAAGTTACCTTTATACTTTTAAGCATTTCTCATGATTTTGTTCATCAGTGTCTGTGTATACATCTTTGTCAATCAACAGTTCCTTTGGGAGTTTAGATTTAAGCTTTGTCAAATTAGCTTAGACATAAAGAATTGTTCAAAAATGTCTACATCTTTCATTAAGTTTGCTTTTTTTGTTGCCACATTTTCGAGTTCATCTCTATTATTGTTAATTCTTTAAAAAGTATTTTGATCAGTTTCAGATAATGTTATAAGATTACAAGTTCAGGTAGGATTATAATGGTACTGCTTAAAAAAATGTTTTTATTTTCCTTATTAATATTTTGATTGAATGAAAATGCATAAAATGAACTAAATCACTAGAGGTTTGAAAGCTTAGCAGGAGTGTCCTAGATTTGAAGATGATGTTTTACAGCTTTAGCCTAATATTTTACAAAAAAAGCACACAAAAAAACATCACTTATAATACATTGTTACAATATAACATTACAGGAGAAATGAATGAGCAAGCTCATGTTTATCTCATCTACAGGTTTAGAATTTGTAGTTTCCAGTGTTCACTGCTCTGTTAAGTATTAACTTAAACAAAAGAGCATTTTGTAGTTCCACATTAACATGTTTTTTCGGTAACACTAATAGAGAAACATCTGCTAAGCCTAAACATTGGTGCTGGCTTCTGGATAGGGAATCTTGCATTAGTAAAAACATCTCCAGCTCCACCACACCTAAATCTATCGCTTCTTAAGTTTTTGTGTGCAGTTCAATGTGGTTCACGCTGCTAACTTTGTATCCATAAGTAAACCTGATCAGAAAATATCATAATCATCAGGGGTGGACAGGGAATACAGTGCAGGCTAGAAACTTTATGACACTCAGGCCATATGTGATTGACGCAAACCTCAAAGGCTGACTTAATTTTAGTTCACTTTGAAAAAACATTGTTTGCGCTCTTGAACTGACTAACTAAAAAGAATATATATATATTTCTATTGTGGTTGAGGGCAAACAAAATCATAAAATGGCTTCTAATACCATATTTTCATGACTATAAGGCGCATATAATCGCCTTTTTTTCGTAGGTGTCGCAGTGAACAAAAAGCCGTCCCCGCCCCCTCTGTAGACACTCTGCTGCACCTCCCCCAAATTGTAGGTGACCACAGACAGGAGGCTGGCTTGTTTTGTTTTTATGACTGAAACTGCAGAAAACAACTTGTGAAGTTGGACCAGCTAGAAGAGCGAGGTGTGCGAGAATGCTGGGACCCTTTTACCAAGTGGATCCCCGCTATTTTTCACCCTCATATCCCTCAGCTGTCGGGAAAAAACTGTCCCCCTTTCCTCACTGCCTCGGCTATAACTAGACCCACAGCATATAGCGCGGACCACGCTTCGATACTGGGCATTAATCAAAAATGTCTGCGTCAAGCTCACTGCGACACACTCCTGCTGAGTATTACCAGCCCTTAAATAATCTATTTTTGTAATTTTAGTTGTATACAGATCATGATAACTGAAGTATAACTTATTTCCTTAGCATAGCCTGAAAGAATATCTAGAAACTGGTTCCTCTGATTCAAAGTGTCTAAAAAGACCAGAGGCCAGAATATCATCAGCAATGCTGCCATCAAGCACCATCAACTGTTCTTTTCTCTGAGATCAGGAGAGAAACTGTGTCTGTGGAACATGCATGGTTCCACCACAGCTTCACCCTTATGCTATGCAACTGTTGGACTCAAATGAACAACCCCGGGCCCTGCCTCCCACATTTTGAGTCATCCTTTATCGCTCGGACTATGTTGGGTACTGATCCTGTCCCAGGGCCTGACTCCCCTGGCTATTTTTAATTTTCAACCAAATTTACTTAATGAAATACATGGCATGTTTACAACTCTTACTATTTCTGACATCTTTTGCTTTTTCACTCAAATCCTTTTCCACTTAAGGATATTTTTTGGTGCCAATATGTTAGGTTTGTTAAATTTGCTGCAAGCTGCTGTTTTTTTTTTTCTTTCATGCTTTCCCTGGGGCCTTTTCAACAGAATCTCAGCCAGATACAGTATATGATTGGTGATTCCCACCTAAATGGCAATAAGTCTAAGGGCCGGATCTATCAAAGGTTTGCGTGTATTAAAACGTGAGCTATTTCACTGCGCACGCTAAAAAATGTACAAACTGATCTATCAACAGCGTGCTAAAAGCATTTGGTCTTTAAAACGTGCTAAATAGCGCCTCTGATCCATTTAGTACTTTTTCTGCAATGAATATGCAATATGGGGCGTTTACACGCTAAAGTGCGTCTTGTGGGAGGAGAACATGTAAATATATTAATTTAGCACTCGCAAAGTGATTTGTCAAACTTGAACGCAATTTTGCTAACGGTATCTGACTCTATATTTAACACGTTTCAAAAGAAGGTGCAAATGGTCTGTATGCATAATTGCGCACACATGGCAGCGGTTATTGTCGCAAGAAGGAGACATGGAAATAAAGCAAGGAGACGCAGAGAACGCATTTTTTCACTCCGTGTGAATATTTTTGCAATGAACGAGGAAACGATCATCAAAACTTGAAGCTGTTGGGGGAACTCCGAATGGATTTGGAGCCAGCCACAAGGAGGACCCACGCAATACCAGATATCACAAAACTCCTTGCAACATTGCACTTTTTTGCATCTGGGTCATTCCAGCGTACGGTTGCAGCGTGAGCTGGGATCTCCCAATCTCGTTTTTTCAGAAGTGCTGTCCGACGGGGTCGGGGTTCTCCCCCTGCGCCTGTGGAGCAATGTGCCAAATGCTGCCGGGATCTCATCCACAGTCACAGGCCAATACAAAACACCTGTTTTTTTTTTTGTTTTTTTTTACTGCAGCACATACCACCTTAGGGAATAAAGGTTGCCAATTTATAAATATATATATATATATATATATATATATATATATATATATATATATATTTACTTATTTATTTTTTTTTGTTTGGGGTCACTGTAAGATTTTAATTTCTTAATGCACTAGTTTGTACAGACTACAAACTACTTTGCCGCAAACCACAAAACGCGCAAAACCATCATTTAAATAGGGCGTCTCCAACAGTTTTGCACCTTCCACCAGTTACGCAATCACTCTTGTTAAATCACCCGCAAACCATGGTTCAGCCCCTCGCGCAAAATTCCAGTTTGCGAGCGCAAATTACTGCACGCAAAATTGGATCTTGATAAATCCGGCCCTAAGTGTTATGCTCTCAAACTGAACCGGAAGGTTCCTGCTCTAACTCCTTATTGCTGCTGCCCACCACATCCCTGAAAGCTGGAGCTCTTGCAGCAGTAGTCCTGGTCACAGTACAAACCCTGTTTTATTTCATATTTGTAAAAAAAAAAAAGAAAAAAAAAAAGAAAGAAATAATAAGAAAACACTTAGAATTTCTCACCAACTCAAATTCACTGACACTTTAATGCATTGGCAATGTTCAAATGACAACAATTATGTTCTTCGTCTTGGATATTACCAGGCTAAAAAAAGGTTGCATAAAATACCATTTAAAAAGCTCAATTAAATGTATTCATCCAAAAGGTAAATTAAATGGTGAAGCAACTCGTTTGTGTTTTTGTAAGGAATTGTTGGTGTTGATAGCTGTAGGCAGGAAGCACCTTTAGTATCGGTCAGTCTTCCACCAGATCTGGAGAAGCCATTGACTGAAGACACTCTGCTGGTGTTCAACAGTCTTCAGAAGAGGAGGATCACTGTTGTCAAAAATATTCTTCATTTTAAGAAGAATTCTTCTTTGTGAAATGATCTCCAAAGGTTCTAGAGGGGTTCTTAGATATGCAGCATCATGCTGCAAACAATAAAGGACCTAAACTTCCTTAGGAAGTACAGTCTGCTGTGTTCTTTCTTGTAGACTGCTTCACAGTTCAGCTCCAGTTGACTTTGTTGTCCAGGTAAAAACCAACCTTTCTATATTCCTCCATCACCTCCACTTGTCCAATGATGTTTATAGCATTTAACTTCTTGTTGTTTCTTCTGAAATCTCCAATCATCTCCCTTGTTTTGTACACATTCTGGATCAGATGATTGTTGCCACAATGGGCTCCACCAGCTCCCTGTACTCAGCTTCTTGTCCACCTCTGATGCACCCAACAACTTCAGAGTCATCCGAGTATTTCTGCAGATGACAGGACACTGTCTTATAAAAGAATAAAAATTTTCCTCAATACTCATTAAATGTTTTAGTGGAGTTCATGAAGCATACCCCAAATCCTTACATGTTTGTTAAGTCATTTGTGGTCTCCTTAGGTTCATGAAAGTGGAACTAACCTTTATTTTCCTAAGTACGGCTACACTAGTGGTCTACCACCTTTATATAACATTTTTTTAGATCACTTTGTGGCTGTTTTTTCTCTCTCTCCCTCTGTTTTTGCTTCAAGCTGTTTATAACTCATGGCATTTACATTAAATTTATTGTATATTTTTTATGTATTTAGTTTTTATCTACTTAACTTTTCTTTTTAATTATTAGATTTTCTAAATAAGGTGTCCTTCTCAGAAAATGGCTTTTGTAAAGTACGTTCCAATAGCTTTCTTTTATTCTTTGCCATTTTTGTGCTCCTGTTCTACTGATTAAAAGCTTGGCAATGATGATGTACTTTTTATTTGATGACTCTTAACTTTCCATATCCGTCCGTTGATGTAGCACAGATGCGGTCATACATCATATTTTCTAAGATCACAGTCAGTGGCATCACTTTTAGCAAGGGGAACTTTAGGCTTTCTCTCTAGCTGGAGAGTATCAAATGGCAGTCCTGATATCTCTGAACAGATGGGCCAGCTTGATTGAATTTTGATGTGTTTCTCTGCCACAGCAAACGCAGCAATGATGCTTGGCAAGAAAGCACCAGAGATATTCATCTCGTTGCTGTTTGGTGCTTCTTCGTCACAAAGCAGCTGTAAATCATCAGCATATAGTGCAGATCTGTATTCTGAGCTGCCCGTGGGCTGCTGATGAT